ATCTCCCACTTTACTGATGAGGAAAAAGAGGTGCAGAGAGTTAAGTAACTTCCCCAAGGTTACACATGGGAGAATACTGGAGTCTGGATTTGGGCCCCAGGGGACTGATCTCAAAGACCTCATTCCTATCATTATATTTTACTATCCCTCTTCTATGCTGTCTTCAATATGGATTACTCTGTTCTGTAGTAATTTCACTGAGCAACTTGTCAGAGCTGTGGCCCTATGATCAGCGTATTTTTTATTTGTTAACATTACATATGCTAAATTTTTGCTGCAATAAGCAGTATCTTATTCAGGTAGGATATATAAATACTACATACTTACAAAATTCTCTAATTTTACCTTCTCTTCACCTTTTTAGTGAGCCTAAGCTGAAGCTCTGAGTCTTTTCTTAAATAATAAAACTGCCCTTTATTCTTTAGGGAAACATAAAAGAAAATGTATACATGAATATTTTTCCTTTGCAAGCGCTATGTTTTATCTGTTAGATCTCTCGGTGAAATCATTATCTTATGTTTTACAATAAGTACTTCCTGGAGACTGCCACAGATTTTGGCGTCAGAATTGCACTGCTGCTCTCAGTAGACAAAGACTGGATGTTTCCAGGGATCTTTAAGAAATGATAACTGGATGGGGGTGGAAGGAAGACACAAAAAGAGAGAAAAGAGGGAGAAGCATAAAGGCAGGAGGAGTCCAAAAAATGAATTTTTGAGACATTTTCTTAAGGATGAATTATTCCAAAAATATTGACAAAACAGTCCTTTGAAGTTAGGGTCCATCCTAGATCATTTATGGATCAACAAAAGACTGAATCAAGAGGGACCTCGAGAGATCTCCTACTTGATACTTATAACCCAAAGTCTCATTAGAAAGCCCTAGAAGTGAGGGAGAGAGAGAAAACAGGGAAAAGGCAAGCCCCAACAGAGCTCTGTATGGAGGGCAGAGGTACAGCAGGCTGAATGAAGAAAAATTCTGCCTCACTGGGCTACAGATCCATTTTCTCTGGGCAGATCTGAGTCTATCTGAACAGAGCCATAGAATACCTTTGCATGAATCAGAGAAGGGCACCCATCCTCCAGGCAGTGCGCCCCCCAATGGACTCACTGCTTGGACGACATAGTAGGGAGCTGGTTTTCAGACCCACCTTGCATGGCAAAACCTGCACAGCTACAGTTGGTAGCCCTGATCTTGCCTTCTCTCTCTCCAACAAGCACGTGGCACTAGAGGAGACAAGATGGAGAGTCAGAGCAGCTTGTACTATTGGTGCTGTCATTAGCTGTGAGACTTTGTATAGTCATTCAACCTCTCGAGGCCGCAGTGCCTCCATCTCTGAAAAATGATGTGGCTGGCTAGATGTCACCTAAGGCCTCCTTCCTCTTACCAATTGTCAGTTGAAATCTGGTAATATCTAGTTGGTATATTCCAAACTATATCCTTAGGATACAGTGACTGAGTTGAACCTTTAAAGCGTTCTTAAGAATGTTTTTTTTCCTCTCACATCTTATTTCTGACGTTACTTTTTTTCTTTCAATCTTAAGACCATACTCAGCTTTCAATCCCAAAGTGCTCAACATTTTTTAGAGCCATCAAAAGGTCACCTATCATGTACTGTCCTCAAATTACCCAAATATCCACTAACAAAATGGATAAACTGGGCATATTCGTTCACAGAAATAACAGAAAAAAGACCTACTGCTACCTACATCAATTTGGATATATCACATGACATTATGTTGAGCTAAAGATGACCAAAAAATGTGTATTTTATTGCATTTAAATGCAGTCCAAGAACAGCTTAAAACTAATCCGTGACAATAAAAGTCAGAATAATGGTTATCCTGGGGACAAGGATGATGACTGTAAAGAGAGGCTGGTAATGTTCTGTTTCTTGATTTGGATGCTAGTTGCCCAGATGTGATTATTTTGTGCTGTACACTCCTGATCTGTGCATTTGTCTGGTTGTGTATAATTCAGTAACAAGTTCAAAGAAATAAAGCTACAGGGACCAAAATAAAAGCCATCTACTGAAACTGTACACACAAGTGCTACTACCTGTGGGGAGAAAATTAATCACATTTTATTTAAACCAATCAGAGAGAAAATCATCTGAAAAGCTAAGTGAGAAACTCCATTATATTTCCTAAAATATGCATCAAGAAATTGCTTAATTTTTTTAAATGATTTCCTCCCTCACATGAAACTGTGGCTATAAATTAATACAAAATATTGTTTTTCTGTCTTCATATACCAATGAAACATTATTGCTCAAAGCTGTATAAAACAAGTACAAAGGTAATGTTGGAAAAAATCTGAAAACACCCCTGAAGAGGATCCATTTGGGATAGTGAGAGTCTAAATAGATATTTCTGGTCAGAATTATTCCAATTATCAGCACATTAATGCAATGACCTGGATAATGACCAAATCTCTACCTAGTTTCTTGCTGTATCGATTTAACTTAGCTAAGTAAGGCCATACAGGTGGGGAAAGACATTCGAGAAAATGCTATGCTGGCCGGGGGCGGTGGCTCAAGCCTGTAATCTCAGCACTTCGGGAGGCCAAGGCGGGAAGATCATGAGGTCAGGAGTCCGAGCCCAGACTGGCCAACATGGTGAAACTCCATCTCTACTAAAAATACAAAAATTAGATGGGCGTGGTGGCGGGCACCTGTAAATCCCAGCTACTCAGGAGGCTGAGGCAGGAGAATCGTTTGAACCCGGGAGGTGCAAGTTGCAGTGAGCCAAGATTGCGCCATTGCACTCCAGCCTGGGTGACAGGGCAAGACTCCGTCTCAAAAAAAAAAACAAAACAACAAAAAAAAAAACCAAAAAGAAAAGAAAAGAAAAGAAAATGCTGTGCTACAGACAACTCCAAGGAAGCTCCAGGAAAACATTGCCTTCTCTTGGGACTGTATTTGGTTCAGCTGTGAGTTTGTTTCAGCACACTTCTCTCTTCTTGACTTCAAGTAATACAATCAGCTGAGAGAGCAATGATTTCTTTCCTCTTCTCAGGGTTCTGTAATTCATCTTTGATCGATATGGTATATATACTGCATGACTGTTCCGTTCCATTTGATGTATATAAAAAGTGATCATACACAAACTTGCATCAGAATTACACCACTAAATCACGTAAGGTAATGAGAAGCACAGATTGCTTGTTTTTACCTAAAACTTCATAATAACTTCAGCCATTACTGCTGTAGAGCACCCTCTGGTCCCACAGCATGGGAGGTAGACATTAGTAGTTTCCTCAACTACTGGGGGACTAATTATTTGTAGAATCATTAGTACTTAAACAAAAAACGTTTCCGGTCTTTGAAATGGGAAGTGGCTTTTGGAATGTATGGGATACAGTTATAAGCATCCAGTCCCTGCACATTATTTAACACCAAACTAGTGATTCAACACTAAGACAGGCAAAGTTTCCAGGATAACTATCAATTAGCAGTCCTATTTCAAGTTGTATACAGACTTTATAGGGCACCTTAATTCTAATCATTCTAATCCTTTTTTCTCGGCTAAAAATACCTTATTCTTTAATCTACACTTCGAAACAGTAAGTTCTCTCTACTTTGGCCTTGTTTTAAATACTTATCCTTCTAACTTTAAGATTTCCTTGCAATACAATGTCCAGTACTCCACTTCCTCGTTCCTCTCAATGTATCCCTTTAACTTGTTTCTACTTATTTTTAAAGGCCCCCAAAGCCTCTTCCTCAGGATAATGTGCAATTCAGAAAGCCCTCTCGACTACCCTCTGTATCAAAGTTTAACCACAGAGACCAACAATAACATTTTGCCTGTTTGGGTTTTAGGGAACATACATTATAAATGAAATTTCACTACTCATAAAACTCCTTCGCTAAATCTTCCCCATTCCCCTCTCCTAACTCTCCATTGTTTTATACACAATCACGACATAAACACACTCTCAAAATGTGTAATGATATAATCATACAAAGACTTCCTAAAAATACATAATTTTAATGTGTGCAACAAACAGCCTTTATAACTCTAGTACTAGGAGTACACGTTTAAAAATATACTGACTTTTAAATAAACTGTGTTTGTTGTTCCTCGTTGGGGGTGGGGAGGAGGTGGGGATCATCAAACAAGGACAGATTGCTATATCTGAAACCACAAACTGTTGCAGTAGGATTCTATTGAGGATTGTAAACACCCTTAAAACTTTTTTTTTTTTTTTACTTTAAAAGAAGAAAGTTGAAATTGCAAAAATGAAAGCCAAAGCTTTTATGCTTTACCCATAAGGATACACTAACCGAATATCTCCTGTTTTCCCACTTATGAAAGAAATACGCTTCATCTACCAAACTAGGGCATTTATGAGGTTTGTATTAACGAACAGAAAAATGTACTAATGCAAAAAACTTTCTATCCTTTAGAAGACTTAGTAATAAATCGACTTTAGGGAAAGCCCAAGAAATTTCGTTCTCAACTCAGAAAACCACCTAAGGGATAATTTGTGAATGCCATCTGGGATCCAGGCAGTCCCATCAACAAAAGGGAAAACTTGTTGAGATCATCCAAATCTAAAATTCACATACATTTTTACATCTGGACTGAATTAATCTTTTCTTGGTACTGGCTTTCATGTAATAAAATAATTGTTTGCAGGTTTTATTTTTCTTAAAAAAAAAAAAACCCACAACTTTAGAAATCAAAATGTGCAACATTCAAATCGAAAACTACAAAGAATTTCTTTATCATAAAAGTTAGTTGTGAGACAGGACTCATTTACACTCAACTCTGAACCTGACAGCTCAGTCAAAAACAATTCTGTTTGAAACTTTCATTCCAAGCATCTGCCACAAAAAGCTATGCAGTCTATTACATCATAAGTTCAGAAAGCCAAAAGCTTTATAAGTATAGTTAAATGTGGAAACAAAATCCAAAAACTAGAAAAAAGACCCCCCCTCCATTTCAGCTAACCTAGTTGAGTAACAATTTTTTTAAGAATTTGTAACTAAAAACTGTTACCTAGCACATTGGCATTTTGCTTTCAAAAGCAGCGTCTTCATTCAGGCCCATGCTGTTTTCAGGCGTTTTCCTGTAGAGCCAGGAGCATCATAAATCTGTAAATTCAAATTATGTACTTAAAACTAGCAGCTTACCCTTCTTGCCCCCAAAAAGGAGATACTGGAAATAGGAAAGATTTCCTGCCCCTTAAAATGTCTTGAGTACTGCAAGAACTGCTGATTACTGTAGCCCATCAGTGTCAGATCTCAGAGATTCTTGCAAGCAACTCAAAGGGGGGAAAATTAGTTCATAGTACAGTCTTTCTGGAGAAGATGTCCTGCAGATAACATGATATTAGATATCCCCCGGGGGATCCTTTTCATCTAATAATCCTACTAAATGTCCACTTTAATATGAAATATGAATCCAATATGTTTACAAACATACCAAATGCCAGCTGTCTCACATTGTGAAGTATTTTCATTTTTAACATAAAACGTTTATTTCTCAAAGCCACACCTGAGAAAATGATTAGGTGCTGTTAAGTTTTATACTACAAAGGACATCAGCAAAGGCATCTGTTTTCCTGCCTCTCTTCTGGTCTTCTCCCCTCCCCCACTCTCCATCCTGCAGGCCATTTGTAGGTCCTGGTTGTTAAAATTTCTACAATAGTCTCATAATGCTCTAAATTCTAAAAAAAAAACAAACAAACAAAAAAACACTTCTCATCCTTTAACACTGCTGAACCCAAATTCATGCACTGCTCTAAGAAGGAAACCCAAAAGTCACAAGCCTCTTTAATGACAGATGTATTACGGAAAATTTTCCCCACAAAGTTTTGATGCTGTGAAATATCAACTCCCTGAAATCACAGAAAGGAAATGACTTACATTCTTGGAAAATGAAGCCACTAGCAGCTTTCTCCAACAGCATTTTCTAAACCCCAAACTACACCCTGCGGCAAGAGGGAGTATTTCGTGCAAAAACTAAATTTAAATAGATGCTTATAAAACCCATAAACAAACATTGCCCGGTCCCAGAGAAGAACAGAAGGGAATCATACTCGGAAAGTCCAGCGAGATACTTTTTCTCCACATTCAGAAATGCTGGAGAGCACAGGCTGGAAGTCAGAAGCAACCTGAGAACGCTTGCTGAAGTTTTCCTTCCCTGCTGTGAGCAATGCACAGCTCCTGAGGGAAAAACTGGCAAAAGAGATTTTGCTTAAAAAATAAAAATGAAAAGGGTGTTAAGGGGGAAAACGAGCTAATATTTCTTTGGACACTAGCTACACAACTGCACGGCCTAAAAATTTGCCAGCTTTCAACTTTAAAATACACTTATTTTGACATTTTCCCATCTATTCGTGCCTTTTAAGAAAACGCCCGCACCATTAGGCTATGCTGTCCCAGGACTCGAGGTGTTGTTGTAATCCCTGTAGACTTTACATTTACACGGGTGGACACCAGCTGTCCATACCTGACAGTGCCTGGCCCTTCCGGAGCCGAATCCCATTCGCCTGGGGCTCCGCCAGCGCACCGCAAGCTCCTCCAGAAACCCAAATTCTGCAGGCCGCGCCCCCAACTCGTATCTCACCCAGGCCCCAGTCTGGCGCCGATCTGCCCCAGCTCAACCTCCGGCTCCGCCGACTGGGCACTTCCTGGGACTCCGGGCAGACCCTGCGCTCGGGTGCCTTCCCGCAGCCGAGCTGTCCGGCCTCTGCGCGCGCACAACAGGCGGCACGGCGCAGCCCCCGGGAGCGCGGGACTCGGGTGCTGGTCCCGGCGCCCAGCCACAGCGACACTGACCTGGGCGCCGGGGCCCGCCAGGGAGCTCTGTGATCCGGGGACCTCCGCGATGCAGAGGACCAGGCGCGGCGCACGGAGCCCAGGCGCGCAGTCCGCAGCCGGGACCAGCCTCCCGCCCCCGCCGCTGAAGCAGCCCCGAGCTCCACGCCTCCCCCGCTGCCAGGCTCGGCTGCCCTAGGGCCTCGTCCGCCTGTCCCGGAGTGGACGAGCTCCGACTCGCGGAAAAGCGACCTTCCCGCCGGTGCCCGACACCCAGAGCTAAGGGAGCGAGAAGAAAACGAAGAAAGAGGCGGAGAGTGGGGCCACTGCCTTCGCTGGGACTCGCGACTTCCAGAAACCCTCCCGAAACCCCGTCCCGCCGCCGCCCCGCCGGCAGGGGGCACAGCGGGCGTCCGGGGCGCGGCGGCTGGGCGATGGGGAGAGCGGAAAGGGCCCAGACACCGGGTTCTTGCTCGTACCTCGGAGAAAGTATTGAGCACCAGGCGTTGGGCTCTGTGGTCAGCCCCCTGAGTCTTCCTGCCGGCGCCGAGCCTGTCCCGCTCCTCTCAGCCCCTTGGCCCCGCCAGCCAGAGGAGCACTCCGCGTCCGCCCCGCCCCCCGCCCACGCCTCCCGCCTGCCCCGCCCCCTGAAGCACCGCCCCCTGAGACCCCGCCCCCGGCCCGCCCCAACTGGCCGCGGAGACAGCCGAGCCGCGGGAGCTGAGCGCCGAGCTAGCGACCGTACAGGGAGCGCCCGTCCGCCCCGCCCTGGACCCAACCAAGCGTCCCGTGGAGGGGTGCGGCCACTTGGGGGCAGGAGAAAACGGAGTAAGCCACCCTTCTGGGCACCCAGGAAGCGAGGCGAGCCTCAGGTGGACGCGGTGGTGTAGACCACGACGATCAGGGCCGTTCCCCGTGCTGTGGAGACGGAGGTGCGAGGGGACCCCGGCGGCTCCCCACCTTATGCCGAATGGCCCTCTCCGCCGCCGGCTCGGCTCCCTCGGGGCGCTCCCTCCGGAGCCGAGGCGGGCTGGCCGGGGGCGGCTGTTTGGCCTGAGCGTCTTCTTACTAAAGCGGATCGCCGGAGGGGAGGCCACTCCGAGAGGAGGCGATCCCCAGCAGAGGAGGCTTCGTGAATCCCACAGCCACCTGCCCACCCGCCACTCGGGACGCCGCGCCTCGTGGGTTTCACGCTGGATGGAGGGGCGCCGCCGAGGAGGCCCAGCCTCCCCCGCTAATTCTACCTCTCCAGTTCCTCAGGTAGACACAGCCTCTGTCTGCTGTGGTTTTAGTGCCCGTGGCCCCTCAGAAATTATTTTTGTCCCCTCCCGCTAGTGGCTTTGGGGGATGGAGGGCTAGAGATGCAAAGGACCAGTGGAAGATTTTTTATAGCACTAAGAATCAAGCCAGGAGATGGAGGTTTCATTGCCACTTCGGGGTCTGAGGAGGGGACGAGCTGCACCTCTCCAGTCAGTCTGCGCCCACCAGGACCTGCTGCTGGGGACCGCAGACGAAAGGAGAGACACCCAGCACCTGGCCCCTAGTCCCGCAGGGCGTCAGTCTCCTGGCCTTCTGCCTTTCAAGGCTTCCTCTGACTTTGCTGACCCAGTGACCCCTGGCCACGGGTGGCAAAACGCCCTCACTGAGCCCTTCGCTAAAGGAGTGAGGGGGTTTATTTGTCTGGCTTTGAAAATGGGATGAGGAGACAAGAAAACAGGACCTGAGAAAGGACACTATCCAAAATCTGATGCTCTCAGAAGTCAACTTTAAAACTGCCCTGCTCTTTTCATCCAAAGATGAATATGTGAAGCCAGCTGTTACTGGTTGAAAGTGTGCCTCTTGTTTGCATGGCAAAGGAATTCAGTTTTGTGTTCATTTACAGCTGAAGCTCTCTTGAAATAATTGCCTCAGTCACAACTTTTACATTTTGGGAACCATACCATTAGAACTGAATATTAGGAACTATGATCTTTTGTCTTTTCACAATTGACAATATATTCAGAACTTATTTCTGATAAAGCTGGGCAGTTTCTAAGGATACTGTACTTATGATTTAAAGTCATGACTCCATTATGGAAAAGAGAACAAGAAATATGTTTCAATGACTGCCTTTTAAATTAGTTGTACTCCAGCACTTTGGGAGGCCGAGGTGACAGGATCATTTGAGGCCAGGAGTTCAAGACAGCCTGCCAGACCTTGTTTCTACTAAAAATAAAAAATAAATAAATGTTCCGGGCCTGGTGGCCCATGCCTGTAGTCCCAGCTAGTCAGGAGGCTGAGGTGGGAGGATGGCTTGGGCCTAGGAGGTTGAGGCCACAGTGAACTGTGATTACACCACAGGACTCCAGCCTGGGTGACAGAGTGAGACCCTGTCTGAAAAAGAAAGAAAAAAAAAATTGAGTTGTACTTAGTGTACTAAAATTAAAAATTGGATAACAATAGTTGAGGACAGTGTAGGCATTTAAAAGTAGAGGATTTCACTTTTTACTCATTTTTGTCTTTTATATGCATCAGAATGAGTGCATATTGAGTACTACTTTGTAAGGTCTTAAATTAATTTGATATCTACTGAGATAATCCAGCATTTCATGTGTAAAGATACGTTAGATAATAATATATCACTATCTTGGAAAACAGTTCCTAAATCTGATTTATTTTCAGGTTTCATGAATCAAAATCTAACAGATAAGCAACAACGTATTGGTAGGCTGTGAAACATTGCTGCAAATATAATTAGGTAAAACAAAGAGCAAAATATTTTGAACAGTTTAAAAAAAAAAAGTATGTTTAAATTAGTTGTACTCCAGCACTCTGGGAGGCTGAGGTGACAGGATTGTTTGAGGCCAGGAGTTCAAGACCAGCTTATTGTCCAGAATTAGATTGTAGGAAAATTCACTATGTGAATATTTTCTGAATCATAATGATGATATTAACAGTACAAATACCATTTTAAACAGAGACTCAAAATATTTTGTAAACTAAGTATTTTAAACTCTTAAAATCAGGTATGTAAACTCCTGTAACATCTTCGAATTCTGAAAGGACTGATTTTGGAAAGTAATACATAATCTAGTAAAGATGGAAGGGGAGCTGAGAAAGCATGTGTTGTTTTGGATATTTCTTATCACAGGAAACATTTTTCTGTGCTTATTACAATAAATGCAACTTTGTGGGTAATAATTCAAAGTTATGTTTTTGTTCTTAATGTTGGGATGTTTTATTTTCACTGATACGGTGTTTTTCTAAATATGGGACATTGCCTACCAGGGAAACATTACTGTAAACACATCCTAAACAATTACTTTCCCCATGGCATTTAAATATTAACACAACTCTACATTTTTGCTTTTGTTTTTCTTAGGAAAAGGTTATTCACTCTATGAATTTATTGGGTACTGCCATGCACCAGGCAAAGGGTTAGATTCGGAGATTCAAAAATAAAAATACTCCTTAATCTTATAGTAGATTGGGGAACAGACGTGTGAGTTAACAGTTACAACATAGTGCATGCCATGGTAGAGATACACAGGAGGAATAATGAGAAGGCCTAGGGAGGGAGAGCATCAGACATCCCCTGTGAACTGAGAAGGGAAGGATGAACAGAAGTTTGCCTGAGAACAAGTTGGTTGAGACAGTGCTCTCAAACTTGCAAGCACACTGGAATTACCTAGAAACTTTCAAAAACTATTGATGCTTGTATCTCAGGCATATAATTTAATTGGTCTGTGGTATGGCTTGGGCTTTGGAATGTTCTAAATATCCCCAGGTTATTTTAAGTGTAGGCATATGGCAGAGGACACAGTGAACAAGCATACAGAGCCATGCCTTTAAAGCATGATGGCCATAGCCTTATTTTGAGAGGTATAAACATTGGTAGGTGGTATTTTACATTTTGGTGTAAAGAACACAATAA